ACAATGATCTACGATCAACTGCAATATAATCTATGTAGGCCTAAATTTAAGATTCATGTATTTGAGTTGCATATAAAATTTCAATTTGGATTACAAACATTTAACAAACTAATAAACGTAGAGTAAAACATTTCTGTCGATCATACATACATCAAACAGTTTTCTCTAATAGTACTAATAAACTGATTTATACACAATAACCAGATTTATATATTTATCAATAAAACCAATTTCTTTCAGTCTCATATTCATACCTTTTTTAACTGAATAAATGTAATTGTTCACAATTAGAATAAATGCATTTTGACAATATGATTAATTAAAATCAAATAGATGCATACTGTTAAGAATAAACTGTGCCATGATGTTTTTTGTACCAGTATAATTTATGTATGAATTACAAATATGTATCACATTAAGTTAACATTTTAAAATAGGTGTAATTCATATGGAAATAAATAAATACATATAGGGGTGGACGATATGGCCAAAATTGATATCACGATATATTTCTTAATTTCGGTCGATACGATATAATTCCGATATCGATATGAACACTATTTATCTAAACTAAAATATTTTGTAACATTATAAATGCCTTTATCATCACTTTTGATCAATTTTAAGCATCCTTGCTAAATAAAAATATACATTTCTATAATTTCTTTCCCAAAAAAATAATAAAAATTATATTGAATGGAATAGTGTATAATGTTACAAAAGCTTTTTATTTCAGATAAATGCTGATCTTTGGATCTTTCTATTCATCAAAGAATCCTGAAAAAAAATTTACTTAACTGTTTTAAATATTGATAATCAGCAAATCAGCATATTAGAATGATTTCTGAAGGATCATGTGACACTGAAGACTGGAGTAATGATGCTGAAAATGTAGCTATGTATGATCACAGGAATAAATTACATTTTAAAATCTATTCAAATAGAAAGCAATTTTAAATAGTAAAAATATTTCAAAATTGTACTGTTTTTGCTGTACTTTGGATCAAATAAATGCAGCCTTGGTGAGCAGAAGAGAATTCTTTAAAAAAAAACATTAACATTTTTTACGGTTCAAAAACTTTTGACTGGTAGTGTAGGCTGATTATTCTTATAGACTGAAACAAATGTGCTTCAGACAGAAAAAAGGGTATGAAAAGTGCACCGAGTCGCTGCAGAAAACAAAAAAATTGAACAACAACAAAACCTGGAAACGTTGCTGGAGACGGGCTTATTTATAATGCAAACTGCTTGTCTGCCAGCAGGAGGCGCTTTTAGAGTGATGGAACTAGCGGTTTCTCCAGTAATGGCTGTAATCACAGCAGCTCCGCTCATGAATGCTTCTTTATCAGATCCAATGAAAATGCCATCGAAACTTTTCTGAAGACAGTCGGTTCCCCTCAGAGATACATTCATATAAAACACCCGTGCCGTGCTATGATTTTGAAAGTGCAGTGCTCATGTTTATTCAACGAAGTCAAACGGCACAAATAAATCAATGTATGGGAAACTGGTAATGTATATCGAAATATCGGAAATGTGTTTAAAAATCATATCACCGTTACTGAAAAAAATTACATTGCGATACATATTGATATTGAATTATTGTCCAGCCCTACATACATACATACATACACACACATAAATGTTAAATTTAGACCTGCTTGATTGATTGAATGATTGATTGATTGATTGATTGATTGATGCTATTGTGGTGGGAAAAATCATAGTAAACTACTGAAAAGTTAGTTGAAATATCACATTAGGAAATGAATGGCCATCAGAAGCACAAAGTGCAGCTCAGGTCAGCTTAGAGCTACTTCACTCGAAGAACTCCACAAGTAGTCCTATAAATATGGTGGTCTCTAGATAGCATACCTTGTGTCATTAAGTAATTATTGAGGGTACTTGCTGAAATTGCTCCATTAAATGGATAATGTTTTCTAATTTAGGATCAAAGCCAGACTCCCCTGCTGACCGGCGGAGGACATTATTGCGGGTTTCTTCAAACGTCAAAACTGTAGATGAGTCAAATAAAATGCCGCTCAGCGTGTAAGATGAATCATTACCCTTGCCGCTCTCTTTGTCTCCCTCTGTACATCTATAAGTTTGAGAGGACAGCTTTTCCATCATCTTCTGGCCTTTAATCAAGTAAAAAAAGGGCTGGTCCCTAAAAAAGGGACGCTATGATGTATCAAAATATTACGATTAGTCTGATTTAAATCAATAACAAAAAATGTATCAAATACAATTTTCATACTGTACATACATACATATTTAAAACAACTGATTTGATGTTAAAAAAATTTATATTTTTTATTTATTCACACAAAATAGTATTATTATCCATAACATGAACATAATTATCAGCTTATCAGTACAAGACAGATTTTTAAGCTGAATTTATATTATTATGTGATAAAAAAAGAGAGGCTTAATATGAGAGATGTTAAACTAGCACAGTTTAGGTTGCCAGAAACAATGTTCTACAATAAATTTTCAGCCAAATGCCAAATGAGTCAAGAATTCCAGACGACCATTTAATATAAGGATCCATTCCATACTTTATCACTAAAATGTGTGTACATGTATGATTCCTTTACTATGAGTGTTTGACAAGGTTGACAAGGCTGTTCTAAAGAAGTACGATATCAGATGTGCCAGGCCGCTGCTCAGTTTGGCACACAGATTTGTGTTTGTCACACAGGCAAAAGACAGGTTAAAGGATTTGCCGCTCTACAGCTGTATTTCACATCCAAGCACACACACACTTTAAATGCACATGCACGCAATTTCTCTCTCACAGTCACACATTTTAAGTGTGAGGCACCAGAGCAATATGGCTGAGAGGCAGAGGGTGTGTGTCTGTGTGTGTTACCGTCACATATAGCTTACAGAAACCAGCAGGTGTGAGAGATGAAAAAATCAACTTACGCTTAGGAAACAGCTAACAGTTGTCAAAAAAGTTGACGATTCCGTGCAGGTGCCAGTCGTGGAACAAATGTTTCTTTTTTTTCGATTTTATTCTAGTGAACGTTTATATTCTCCTTCACTTATTCCCATGCCAAAAGTAGCTAGACTAAAACTCATTAGAATTTCTTTGGCTAATGGAGAGAATAGGAGGAGGTGCGAACAGGAAGGGATGAAGACATAATTAGTTTCCTTCTCCACAGGAGACGGTGCGTTGATGAGACAATGAACAACAGAATAATGAGGAAAAGGAGAACTTTTCCATCATCTTCTGGCCTTTAATCAAGTAAAAAAAGGGCTGGACCCTAAAAAAGGGACGCTATGATGTATCAAAATATTACGATTAGTCTGATTTAAATCAATAACAAAAAATGTATCAAATACAATTTTCATACTGTACCATTTAAAACAACTGATTTGATGTTAAAAAAAAAATTATTTTTTATTTATTCACACAAAATAGTATTATTATCCATAACATGAAAAATTATCAGCTTATCAGTACAAGACAGATTTTTAAGCTGAATTGATATTATTATGTGATAAAAAAGAGAGGCTTAATATGAGAGATGTTAAACTAGCACAGTTTAGGTTGCCAGAAACAATGTTCAACAACACATTTTCAGCCAAATGCTATAATTGACCAATCAGAGTCAAGAATTCCAGACGACCATTTAATATAAGGATCCATTCCATACTTTATCACTAAAATGTGTGTATATGTATGATTCCTTTACTATGAGTGTTTGACAAGGTTGACAAGGCTGTTCTAAAGAAGTACGATATCAGATGTGCCAGGCCGCTGCTCAGTTTGGCACACAGATTTGTGTTTGTCACACAGGCAAAAGACAGGTTAAAGGATTTGCCGCTCTACAGCTGTATTTCACATCCAAGCACACACACACTTTAAATGCACATGCACGCAATTTCTCTCTCACAGTCACACATTTTAAGTGTGAGCTGTTAAGGCGATGAGTTTGTTCTTGAGTTGTGGTAGGTTGAGAAAAGCTGTGGTAGGCAGCTGGTCTCGGGCACCGCTGACACATATCTCAATTCAGTCACAAACTACCACAGTACCTCCCATATGATTCAACCCTTCTACAGCAGGAAATGAAACACTCTACCCCAGAACAGCCTAGCACAGAGACACATGTTGCATGTAAACAGGAGGACAGAGTGACACAGGTGTGTTTGTTAGTATTTGCGACTGTGCTTGTGTGAATTTTTTTCCAAAATGCTTGGCTAAATAATGTGTCAGGTTAAAACACATGTCCTGACATGTTGGTTGTGTTCAAAAGTCCAAAGGCATAATGAATAAATTTTTTAAAAAGTAAAAATGGAGTCATAAATTGGAAAAAAACATGTATATAGGCCTAAATACCATTATATGTTTCTACTTGCTATTGTTATTTCCTATGTCATAGCATTGCGTTTCAACAATTCTTTTTTTTTAAATGGATATAAATATCTATATAAATGTATTATTATATTTTAAACAAAATTAGATACCTCTTGTTTTCTGTCTTCACGCAAAAAAACAAACGTGCTAATGACACATGTTGCATGTAAACAGGAGGACAGAGTGACACAGGTGTGTTAGTATTTGCGATTGTGCTTGTGTGAATTTTTTTCCAAAATGCTTGGCTAAATAATGTGTCAGGTTAAAACACATGTCCTGACATGTTGGTTGTGTTCAAAAGTCCAAAGGCATAATGAATACATTTTTTAAAAAGTAAAAATGGAGTCATAAATTGGAAAAAAACATGTATATAGGCCTAAATCCATTATATGTTTCTACTTGCTATTGTTATTTCCTATGTCATAGCATTGCGTTTCAACAATTCTTTTTTTTTTAAATGGATATAAATATCTATATAAATGTATTATTATATTTTAAACAAAATTAGATACCTCTTGTTTTCTGTCTTCATGCAAAAAAACAAACGTGCTAATACAGAAGTGTCTGACTGCTTCTGGGTTTAAAATATCCTCATAACCTCTTTATATCAGACTCATTGTGAGCTGAAACAGTTTTCTCAAAGCCTCTATGAATTATCCAGTCAGAATGTTCAATTAACACCTGTCAGTTAGAACTGTCCGTTAATAACCACCCGCCACGAAGGCCATCAGCATTATGTGACGCTTCCATTTTTGTTCCAATTTAAATTTCTCTGCTGACGGCACATCTGAGGACGTTCAGGTGAAAAGTCTCAGAGAGTTCAGAAGGTGGTGACAATAACAAGGAGACTAAAGCCTCCAACTTTTATGCATGGTAGGCATCTGGAACTCGAAAAAGATTGATGCTAATTTGGAAAGTGTCTGATACTCGTTTGCTCAGATAGAGAATGCATGGCAAAAAGCAGGGGATAAAGGGGGGGGGGGGGGGACTTTGTCTGAAAACTTTGTTTCTTGCCTCAAAGGAATCTAAATAATTGAGCGAGTTGGTATCCGCTCGTCTGACAGAGAGAAAAGATGACTTTGAGCAAGAAGGTGGTGGAGGGGAAGATTGAATAAGAGACACAGAACAATGAAGTGATCCCAAACACCTACAAGTTATGCTTTTCATACCTGCCTCAGTCCCTCACTGAAACAAATGATGAAAAATTTGGCTTTTATTTTATTTTTTACTTTAAATGCTAGTAAATAAGTAAAAAGAAACAGCAAGTAACAAACTGTAATTTTGAAGCAGAAAGACTGAAACAGTTTTTCTTGTAATATATATATATATATATTCTCTGTGCCTACAAAACAAGTAGGAATTTCAATATAACTGATTTTCTAAATATTTTTTTAATCAAAATAATTAATAAAAATTATTTTAAATTTAACTAATATTTTAAAATTGCTTTTAAAGCCCTACATTAACATAATGCTGTTGTAAATTAGCATTATAAGTACTTTTAAGTATGGTTGATCTGGAAAATCTCTGAATAGTCAGTTGCGATTGATTCCAATTATCGAACGCTAGAAGGTCCTGCTCACATTCAATCCAACTGGTCCCTTCAAGGTGTTGGCAAACTTCCCCTCCATCCCCTCGCTCATGCTGAGAGACAAGTGTAGATCTCTCTTTCTTTTTCTCTGTGTCTGTCTCTTTCACTTCCGTGACAGTGGCCAGTTCAGAAGGACACACTGGAGCAGTGGCTGCTGGGAGTCTGCAGTCAGTCAAGCAGAGAAGATTCTGGGGGATTTGGGGGGCTTCGTTTGCCAGCAATAAAAGGCTTGCAACAGGATCCTCACTGAAATTAATGACCTAGATAGGCCACCGCAATGCCATTTAAATGGGAAAGTAATTAAAGTGCACCTTCCATGAAAATTATTCATTGCTGACGGATTGGGTGACGGACGAATCGCGAGGCATTCCGCACAATGCCACAGGTTAAGTGCCCAGAGTAAGGCCGCTGAGGCCACTGTGAGCCAGACCACCAGCGATTTAACCACAGCTGTTGAATTGTAACGACCGGTCCAGCTCTTATCAAATTACCACAGATGGAATTACCAAAAGAGGGAAGACAGAAAGAGAGAGAGTGGCTAGGGAGAGAGAGAAAGGCCTCTCAGGTAACATAAAACGGCATACAAATGCTACAAAAGAGGCTTGAGGGATCCGCTTAACTAGAAAATTACACCACCTAGCACTGGCCGACTGGGAATCCCGGGAATCAATCAATCCATTCTGTTTAACGTCCCTGCCACAGATTAGGATTTTGCAGAGATCAATCAATGGACTTATTGTTCCCCAAAGTGTGATTCTTCTCAGGGGTATTGAACGGCATCCATTTTGCAGTGATAATGTGTCAAAAAAGTGGCCGTATTAATTACCAGAGAAATGCCGAGAGGATTGTCTTTCAGTCTGGGGCATGAGTATGCTTTTTCGCACTTTATAACGCTTGGCACAAACACATTTGGATGACGCTTGAAGCTTGCAGAAGAAAACAAGCTCGTTAGGGTTCTCAGAGTTCAGCTTCATTTGAAGTATCACAGTGTTTATTAGAAATGATTTATCTGTGGACATTGTTTAAAATCAATGCGCCTTTGTAATCTTTAATCAAAAACATACAACATGCCACTTGAGATCACAGCAAACAGTAAACGACAATGATCCAGTCAATTTTTTTTAGTTCGAGAAGCTGTATGTCACATTAGGAAAGAAAAGATCACAGTTACAGGTTTTTTTTCTGACTTTAAAACACGTGGAACGACAAAACAGTTCCTGCTAATGTGACCAGACTGCCCTGAACAAGAGAGAACATTTTCTGTTATTTTCTTCAGTCGTGCAGCTCGAAACACAAAGGTTCTTGAGATCAAAGTACAGCGCGAGTTACAGAGCGTTTCTCCTCAAGAGATGAGAGGAAATAACCCGACTGGAATATAGTAGCATTGGAAAAACTGGGCTACGTATGGAATCCATGTGCCTCAACGAATAACATTTCTTATTTAAAGCCATTTCCCCTCTAAGGCAGAAGATAAGAGCAGTGTAGCGGAGTACAGGGTTAATGTGCTTCCCTATCAAACACTTAAACAACTTTGCAACACTTTGCAACATCCTAGACAGAGTGGGCAACAGTCAGAGGGAGCTATCAGCGGGCAACATGCACATCGTGCTCTTCTGACATTTAACCTAAGCATTAAAAATCCATTTCCACAGCTTCTCGCCTTCCCTCGCTTTGATTCTGTTTACCGCGCATGCTGTTTGCATCTAAAACGTGCGTCTCACATATGGCTGCTGAATTCTGCGGCGTGGAAAGGGCTGTTCGGTGCCTGATTCCGCACTGTTTTCCTCAGAAGGACTCTCCTGAATAAATATTAATGGTTATGCTTTGAGCTATTTCTGCTCAAGAGCATTGGGAAGAACAATGGGTGTTGTTTAGACAGATACACAGAGAGATGAATCTATTGATATATAAAAACTAAGGAGTGAAGGAAAGAGAGAGAGAGAGAAAGAGAGAGAGCCGAGGGCATCTCTACAGAGATGTCAAGTGACAATAGAATGCTGATTGAAATGCTCTTCCCCAAACTTCTCATGCAGTCCTCTAGAAAAAGGAAAAAAAAAGAATTGCCATTAAAGAGAGAGAGAGAATTCACATTCGTCTGCAGGGGGGATGGCAAAGGGCGTCAATGGAGGAAAAAAGAGCATAAAAAAAAGAAATTATGATGATGAACCTGCCGATACAGAAGCAGTCGCTATTTAAAACCATTTCATGGAGAGCAGGGAAGTAATTAGGCTTTGGAGGAACAATGAGTACTCTGAGTAGCCCCTCTCTCATATGGACACATCCCTTCTTCTGCTCTCTTTTTGTCGCTTATTGTGTCGCTCAGAAGTGGAAGGATAATTAAAGAGAGGATTCCTGAATTCCTCATCAGATGCATAGCCATCTGGATTCGGGCTCCGGACCTTTGCTTTCTGCTGTCCTTACCGTTTCTACTCCTACACTTGGTGCCTGAAGCGCCGACTTATTCTCATGCAGATGGAGACGAGAGACGAGAGGGTCTCATCCCCCCCCCCCTTTTCACCCATCCCTTGTTTTCTCTCTGCCTTGTCTTTATTTGGTGCTTTTCTGCTGTTAAAGTTATTGCTCAATATAACATTCAAAAGTTCAGGGTCGGTACCTTTTTTGTTTTTGTTTTAGTTTTTGAAAAGTCTCTCCGCTCACAGTAAAATTATTACAGTTTAAAATAGCTTTTCTATTTTAATATATTTAAAAATATATATTTATTCTGTCGATGGCAAAGCTGAATTTTCAACAGCCTTTAGTGTCACATGATCCCATCTGGATTCGGGCTCCGGACCTTTGCTTTCTGCTGTCCTTACCGTTTCTACTCCTACACTTGGTGCCTGAAGCGCCGACTTATTCTCATGCAGATGGAGACGAGAGAGTCTGCTGATTATATGCTGATATGCTGATTTAGTGCTCAAGAAACATTTCTTATCATTATCAATGTTGAAAACATTTGTCGTGCTGCTTAATATTTTTGTGGAATCCGTGATTTTTTCATGATTCTTTGAAGAATAGAAAGTTCAAAAGAACAGCATTTATATGAAACATAAATCTTTTTTTATATTATAAATGTTTTTACTGTCACTTTTGATCAATTTAATGTGTTCTTGCTTTTAATTTCTTTAAAAAAAATTAAATAAATAAAAATCATAATGACCCCAAACTTTTGAACATGTATTCTAATATATTTTTATCATATTCATCAGCAGAGGTGGGGAGGGTGGTTTTATTTTGAAACATGTATTCTAATATATTTTTATCATATTCATCAGCAGAGGTGGGGAGGGTGGTTTTATTTTGACAGTTTTGATATAAAGAATACGAACTGATGAATCTTTTTTTTTTTGTCGGCACGTTGCCCACAAGGCTAAAACTGATGAATCTAAAAAAAAAAAGAAGTATTTATTAATGTACATCAGATCAATTTTAATTCTTGCTCCTCACCCCTTCACCTTTCTGTTCTCTCTCTTTATACTCTTTCTAGTATCCTTCCCCAGGTAATAAGAAGTGCTTAAAAGATGCTATTTTTTCTACTCTGAAGGCCTTGATAAAGTCATCAGTGTTAATGAGTGTCCTGTTCTGTCTGACCGGCCGGCAGCTTATTGTTTCAGGAAGCTCCATTCTCGCCCATTATGAAGTAGTCATCCATTGCCGTGGTAACCCAGGGGTAAAATTGTGCCTGTAAGGCTCTGGCGAGCAGAGAATTGAGCATGCTCAGATAGGGTTAAATTTTCCATCTCGGCTCTAAACAAGGGGCTGATTGTCCGGGACTCCTATCGGTTTGCCATCACAGTGAGCCTGTTGTATTCAAATGGAGCCTGTGCTTAATTATTAAAGGTGAATTTTTTTATATATTAGTAATTGAGTGGGCAACCATTTCATTTTCATTCAAATGTGGATACGTGCAAAGCTAGAATCAAGGACGTGCAGTTGATTTGTCCATTTGGTAGTCCTGTATAATTAGACAGATTTGCCTGACCACAAACAGACACATTTCTTAGAGGGACTTAGAAGATGGATACCTGCATTCAAAATCAGCTGAATGAAGCGCAAAGAAATGGTCATTGAAATTCTGTTGCTAATGAAAAAATATCAAAACTAATAGAAAAAGGAGAAAATCCCAAACGAGCCAACCTCACTAAAGCTACATTCATATGTGGTTTGGAATCCAATTCAAATCGTATTCTTGGAAATCCGTTTTAGTCTGACCGGTCAGATCGGATTTAGCGTAGCTTTTTCACGTTCTCACGCCATGTAAAACACATCAGAAGTTTCTGGATAAATCTTTGCAGAAACAAGCTTGTGTTGTTGCGAACTGCAAGTCAAGTGGAAAAAGACAATATACTGCTAGTATAAGCGCCTCTTTGAAACCAGCAGAAACGGCAGCACGGAATAAAGTTGCACATTCCAGCTTCCTTTGTTTCTGCCGCTGCCTCATAAGACGAAATATAATCCAGCGCGACTGCAACATGTTGTCATGTTGTTAAGACAACATCCATATTGCAAACTGTGACTGTGTCTCATTTAGAAGGCTGCGCCCTCCGGAGGTCACATTCGAAGGCTGCATACGTCATCGAGGGCTGTCTCATTTCAGAAAAGCAAGTAGGACACTCCAAATGCGACCTTCGAATGCGACCTTCTTTCACAGGAATTCAGAGGATGCATGAGGTGTATCCTTCGCTGCTAGAGATAACCCACAATTCTTTGCGTCGCCGTGAACAACCGTTGTTAATTTATAAAATGCCGGTGCCGGCAGATGTACACAGCACAAGCGCAGATGTGGTGTTTACAACTTACCTTAAATCGCATCCAGTTAGGGCTAGACAATAATTCAATATCCATATGTATCGCGAAAAAAAAAATGTCAATAACGGTGATATGATTTTTAAACACATTTCCGATATTTCGATATACATTACCAGTGTTTCCCATACACTGATTTATTTGTGGCATTTGACTTCGTTGAATAAACATGAGCACTGCACGTTTCAAAATCAAAACGCGCGTGGGTGTTTTATATGAATGTATCTCTGAAGGGAACGACTGTCTTCAGAAAAGTTTCGATGGCATTTTTATTTATCTGTTCATTAGCGGAGCTGCTTTGATTGCAGCCATTACCGGGGAAACCGGTGTTTCTGCCGCTCTCAGCGCCTCCTGCTGGCAGAGAATCAGTTTGCATTTTCAATAATAAGCCCATCTCCAGCAACGTTTTTGTTGTTGCTCAATTTTTTTGTTTTCTGCAGCACTTTTCATACTCTTTATCCTGGCTGAAGCACATTTGTTTCAGTCTATAAGAATAATCAGCCTACACTACCAGTCAAAGGTTTTTTAACAGTAAGATTTGTATTGTTTTTTTTAAAGAATTCTCTTCTGCTCACCAAACCTGCATTTATTTGATCCAAAGTACAGCAAAAACAGTAAAATTTGGAAATATTTTTACTATTTAAAATAACTGATTTCTATTTGAATATATTTTAAAATGTAATTTATTACTTATCAATGTTGTGCTGGCCAATATTTTTTGGAACCTGTGATATATTTTATTTTTCAGGATTCTATGATGAATAAAAAAAAGTGTTACAAATAACAATTTAAAATATAAATAGTTCGTAACAATATCTAATAAAGTCTTTACTATCACTTTATCAATTTAACACATCCTTGCTTAAAAAAAAAATTGCCGTTCTTTAGTTTTGAAGAAAGTTTCAGCTTTGCCTCCACAGACATAAATAATATTTTAAAGTCTCAAAGGGGTTTCCAAAATAATGACATTAAAGTATATTTTAGAAGACAATATAGAATTACGAAATTGCATATAAAGATGTACTTAAGTGGGTCAAAAACACTTAAGTTCAGCTAACTGCATTTAATATACATTTAAATTGTAATACATTGTCATCCAGTTTCAATTAGCATGCAATTAAGTGTCTGAAAACATTACATTCAGTTCATGTCAAGTATGCTAAAGTGTACTTTTTCACATGTTCAAAAGAAGTGTTCTCTTGCGACACTGAACAAGCTTCACTGCTCTTAACTCTAGTGACATGACAGTCCAATATCTGTGAGTTTATAGACTAAGTTTCACCTGTAGGCAGAAGCCGGTTGGACGTCTCAAGCTCGTAACTCTTGCTTTTTCTGTCCAGGTAAAATGTAGCAAACTCCTGCGCACACACACACACACACACCAGAGATCAGTCTCAGATTCAGCTGACTAAGAAACTGCACAGATGTGACAGGATTACATCTAAACACACACTCACCAGCTTTGGCAGCAGCATGTAACTGAAGAGCGTGACGAGTGTCCCGACACACGGAGTGATGAAATAACCCAGAGCTGCAGACTCACTATCAGCTTCACCTGTTACGCACACGCACACACCGTGAACAAATCTACACAGAAATGCATGAGAGGTTCCTCACATGCTAAACATAAGAAAACAGAAAGTTATAAGATATTAATAAAAACTATAATAGTATCTCAATGAGAGTAAAATAACAGGGTGTCTCACTTGCGATGGCGAAGATCATTGCAAGAGCAGCAAATGTCCCAGCGAGTCCCTGTCCGCTCATAAAGACAGCGCTGTACCTCTGCGGCAACAAACCCACCAAACCAAACAGACTTCCCTGTAACACGGCCCCGAACGCTGAGAGAGAGACACAGACATAAATACCACGAGCACACAAAAACACTCGTCTTCACGAGGGTGATCTACATGAAAAAAATCGTTTGATGCACGTCAGTAATTACGCATTTACTCTGAAACCAGTTAAAAGGGTGTTTTTCAGTGAGATAAGTTTGGAGTTGGTAAGATTTATTTGTATGTTTTTGAAAGGAGTCTCTTCTGCTCACCAGGGCTGCATTCATTTGATCAAAAATACAGTAAAAACAGTAAAATTGTGAAATATTATTACAATTTCAAATAGCTGTTTTCTATGGTAATATATTGTAAAATGTAATTTATTTCTGTGATGCGCAGCTGTATTTTCAGCATCATTACTCCAGTCTCCAGTGTCACATGATCTTCAGAAATCATTCTAATATGCTGATTTGCTGCTCGAGAAACATTTCTGATTATCATCAATGCTGAAAACAGTTGTGCTGCACGATATTTTTGTGGAAACCGTGATACGTTTTATTTTTCGGGATTCTTTGATGAATAGAAAGTTCAAAAGAACAGCACTTATTTGAAATAGAAATCTTTTATAACATTACGTCTTTACTGTTTTACTTTTGATCAATGTAATGCATACTTGAACACACATGCATTAGGGCTGGACAATAATTCAATATCAACATGTACCGCGATATTATTTTTTTCAATAACGGTGATATGATTTTCAATCCAGTGTTTCAGTGTTTCCCATACACTGATTTATTTGTGGCATTTGACTTCGTTGAATAAACATGAGCACTGCACGTTTAAACGCGCGT